TTACAACTGGCTATTCTTTTAAGAAAATATCCAAATGGCATTAGTTTCCCATAATCATTCATTTCTTTTGGACAGTGCACTGTATGTCAAAAGTATGGTAGCAAGCAGAACAAAGTGATGTACAATTGCCAGAATCACTACCCATCTCAGCCTGTGGAGACATGTATCTCACGTTTCAGGACAGGGATGTATAGGATTTCACAGCTTTTGCTGGGGACAAAACAGCAGGACACCACAGAGGGGGAAAGATGAGAAAAGTGTACACTCAAGTTATTCAAAAGGAGGTTTTTGAACATGTACCTGTAGTAGTCAGAAAATGGAATGCACGTGTCAGTTGAACGACATTCTTCAGCAGAACATTGATCACTTGCACGCAGAGTTTTCAAAATAGTTCAAGGGAATAATAAAGGGTTTGGTACAGAATTGCTGGAACTAAATGCTGTCATTTACCCGTGTAACCATCATATAAATCTCACCACCCAACAAAACGAAAAATCTGGAGTTCAGACTCAAAGATACAGAAAGGAAATTGCGCAGTAAATGCATGAGCTGCAGAGATTTTCTTCCAAGTGCTTAAACACAAATAAGTGAGAGATCTGAGGCTTGCAATGACAGAACATTATGCTCGAAGGTGATGCATTTCAATTCGGAAGATTCTTTGGTTTCACCTGGCTATCAGTGTTATTTTAGTATCTGTTTCATGTTACATTAGGTCTGATCTTTCCTTGGCATGAATAATCAGGCAGTATTTATACATCTTAAAGCACTCTACCAAAAACATCTAACTGTGGGACACAAATAAATGGCATTACAATTGCAAGAAATCCAAGAAAGGAAGACGACAAAATTCATGAGGGATTTGTGCAACTAGACAAAACACATAATAGAAACAAGTCTGTGTAATTAAAGCACAGTCACAATAATTCTCAATAATTGCTAAGTATTAGACTAGTAAAGACCTTTTCCGTTTGTTTACATGTTGACAGAAACTAATTATATGTTTGTTACAGCTGCAGCAAGCATATAAAAAGAAAATAAAATTGGCACGCCAATGACTGAGCCAGGAGAAAGATGGTTGACTATGCTGTACCTGTTGGGAAGACTTAAGGTGTTCTTCTAGGCTTGACTTCAGCCCAGAGAGCAGCCCTTACATCATCAAATAGTCATTAGGATAACCATAACTGTAGCTTTTTAGATTTAGACGTGCAGATTCTTTTACTCAGCCAATACTTTATAATGCAGTACAATTCTATGGTAAATATATGGGATCAAACACTGCTGAATTCAATGGAAACACTCCCACTTGCTCACTACAGACAGGAGTGTACCCTGTGGGTCTATGTGGGACTGTGCTACTCCAGTGGAACTGCAGCGGAAAAAAGCTGCTAAAAGCTTTCCTTGGCCAGCTGTAATTCAGGTTTGATCCTGTGCGTACACCAGGGCAGATGTACAGTTTTGAAGTCTGAGAGAAGGAACCAGTTCTCTTATTTATGAGTTTGCAAATCCAAAGTGGTATCAGCAGAGCAGAAGTCCACAGATTCTGGCCAAACCTTTTAATTTGAGAAAGAAATAAAATCTTTAGACTACAAACCCAATAAAACAGGAAAAGATCTGAATATGATAGAAAACCCAGAAACCATGCTCCGCTGTCATCTTAGGACACGATCCAGCAAGGCACTTGGATATGTGCTTAGCTTTAAGCATGGAATCAATCCTACTGAACTTAAACTTTGCTGGATATGGGATATCTTCTTCTGAGTAGTATTACTTTTCAGCGTTAGTATGCTGGCAATTTTCAGATTGCAGTAATGGTTTTCCCTCTCACATCCACCAGCTTTCTTTTCACATCAACTTACACAACATTATGACATACATTCCAAACTCAGCCAGCTAACTTTTGCAATTGTCAATACAACAAAATGGCTACAAAACTTTACAGACACAATCTGAACAGCTGCAATATAGAATTGTGCTAATTGCAGAGAGCCAAGCACAAACCACTGCTTTTTTTTGATTGGAAAATGACAAAATTTGTAGTGGTCTCCTGACCACATGAGCAAATTATTACTTTGTTTTATACATGTGAAAGGCACTAGTCCGCTATTACTCAGCAATAGCCTCCTGAATTACTGATACATTCTGTTGTGGGTTTATCTGCCACACAACATTTTGTCAATCAGATCTTTCTCGGGCCATTCAGTTTCCCTGCACAGCTTGGTCTATAACTGCCATCTTTATTTATTTTAGCATATGGATAATGACAACATAGGGACTCTATACCACTTCATATGATCATGTGTCATCAAGGCCCTGATACAGCATCTAATAATTCTTTGGCAAACAGTACATCTCTGGTCATGTGGTGGTGTCAGAGGAGAATCCTACTGATGTTATTTATAATGATAAGCGTGGCATGATACCTGTCTCATAGCAGAAGATGCGTATGAGACCACCCCATAAAACGCAGCATTAGAATTCAATATAAATTGTCTTGAAGTGGGTCTATGTTTTAGGGAGGGCTATAGATGACAGGACCAGCCATGTGATTTAAGGTCAGTATTACCTTCTGAGACTGTCTCTTGCTACAACAGAACACTGGTTTTCTGGAGCAGGTGATATTCAATTCAGGTAGAATAATTCTAAATGATGCCTGGAAGATTCACGGTGTTAACAAACACAATTTCATGCACATTTGGACATATTTGCGACAGAACAAATTGGTGCCCCTAGTCTTCTAAAGTTGCCTGGCTCAGAAATACGAAGGTACAGTACGATTTGCTAGGTCTGGCACTGTAAACGTTGATGCCCTCATCACTGTCAACTCAGCTGATCACTAGGCATTCCGAACTAGATTTTGGAACTACTCTTCCGTAGTGCAAAGACATCTCAGCTGCCTGAACCGTACACAGAAGAGCAAATGTTTGCCTGGAGACAGCTAGTTCTCCAAGCCCATCCAACAGCAGAACAGAGGGAAAAAACCCCATTTACTCAGCCTCTCTCTTTGCTCCTTTCAGCCTCGTATCTAAGCCATCCCACAGTTTTCAGCAGCAAACTGTCCTCCTGAAAGATAGCAGGGAAGAGAGTAAGACTAGAGAGGGATGCTCCTACACTGGCGCAGCAGTATGCTGCATCTTCATAGCCTTTCTGCAACAGAAGACTCATCAAGATGAACATGAATTCCATCTCCTCAGCTTTACACTGCAGCAAAAATGTCTTGAATGCCTGGAAATGGGGTCACTGGCATAGTTGAGAACAAATGTGTTTATCGTCATGCTTGCCTATCCAATACAGCATTCTACTAATGCCATATTTGTTGCCATCTTTAGGACTGGCTAGTTTAACTACCTGACTACTTAATTAAAGTGAAAAAGCCTAAATGGATACCAATACTGACATTTGTAACAAAGCGTAAAGCAAATAACAAAGATGTTGCTCTTTTTCCTTAGGGTTACATTGAAAGCATCCAATTGCTAAAAAATATTCAACAGCAGAATACACTCTTTAATTTGTACCAAAATAATTTTTAAAATAGCCTGAACTGTAAGCACATTGCCTAGTGTAAACAGTATTCTGCATGTGAGCTGGCTAAAGAGAATTATTTGTCATATATGTCAAAATAAGGAACTTTTTGATTTAGTGCTTATATGCTGAGGTTTTATAGTATGTTCTCATTGACACAATAATGGGATTTTTTAATATATAGTCTTAAGTGCAAAATATTAGTATATTTAAAAATGCATCAACTGTTAGTTGATAGATTTGTTTTGGTTTATAAACATTAAAAAATTAAAAAAATCTATGTATAAAGTTAACTGTGCTTCTTTAGAAACTTTATGTGATCATTCACATACAGCCTTAAAATATTTTTAAAGTTTAGTAGCAATTCAAAATACACTGTCTCAGCGATTTGCAATCATATGACTGCTACAATGTGGAATGTTACCCATTATTTTTAATACTCTGGGCCAGATCTTGCTGTCAATTACATCCAGAGTAATTCCTTATACCAGATTTATGCTGGTGGAAAGGATATCAAAACTTGGCTTCTACTGGGGGTTAAAAAGAAATATACCATGCTTCAAAACTTGCATGCAATCAAATCAAGGACCATATTCTCTTGGCAGACTTGTTTTTGTCTAGGTGTTTCTTATCTGCGCTGCTTAGTGTCAGACACTCATCTTCATTAAGTTTCTGGGAGTAAATAAAAACCAGAGAAGAATACACCAGTTTCTTGATGGACAAAATAAGCTTCTTCCCCCCACCAACCAAATCAAATCATAATCAGGGTGGGTTTTGTTGTCAGAAATTCTGGGCTATGTTCAGACACTACTCTCAGCTGATAACAATAACTGATAATTACTGAGCACCCAGTTATATTTATTTGTTTAGTTTCATCTAAATTTACACAATGGGCTTACAGGGCCAATGCAAAGTTTTTCTTGTGGTGTAATATACCACAAATGTTAGTTTATGTTTATGTATACAGCATTCCTCATTAATGGTAAAACATATTTTTCAAGTATGAATTTCTGCATGTAATTCTCTTCTTCAATATGCAGATACTCTGGCTTTTAGTGTGCATCATCACAAGTGATACAACATACAACCATTTCCTCTTCTTTCTCTGCCACATTGTTCATGTTCATTGAAAAGAGCGATAAATATTCAACACTGCCATCAGTGTAGTTCCTCTATAAGCAGAGCACTTGAAGGGGGAAATGATGTCCTCAACAGTGCATGCCGTGATATGTGCCTTGGACTTTCCGGTCCTGTAGTTGAGATATTTTCACCGAGCCAAGAAAAGTTCTGAACTTGCCTCTTATTCTTCCGTGGAAAGTAAATGTCAAAACCAAAAGAACTATAAAGATTTTTCTCCCATCCTCTTGCTAACCTTGGCGGCGGTGGTTGATTGTCTGCAAAAGGAGAATGAAAACCACAGCAGAATGTCCCAGAAATGGGTCATTTTAGAGTTCTGCATAAGATCCACACAGCTGTATGACTGAGCAGCAATATCCAAAGAGGAGGAAAATGCTTTGGTTGCCTCGAGCTAGCATGTTGAAAGAAAGGTATGCTTTCCTTCCACACAGGTAAAAGTGCTTGTTAGCTGATGAAGCAGGAACGACACTCAAATTACTGATGGAAAGAAGGTAGAAATGTGAAATGCCTCCTCTCATTTACAGCACATGTAATCAGAAGAATTTCAGCCTCTCTCCTTGTTGTGGTTTAAAGTTCTTCTCGGCACATAGGGAAGTTGACAAAGGTGAAGACATTAAACTCTATCAATATAGAGAAACACAGGAAAACAGCATAAAGAAACAACACGTAGATGCCTAATTTCCTGTCAAGTTTCCACTTATTTACATGGATTCCAAACACCTGCAAGCAAACAAAGTGTTAGTTAATTAAGCCCCAAAGGAGACTTTTGGAAACAACCATTATAAGCTAAAAATGAGAGTCTTTTGAATTAAGAGATCCTGAACGAAGATAAAAATATATTCTCAGTATTTTCTAGATCAAAAAGGCAACATATGTTTTTCTGATCAAGAAAAAGAATGTCAAAGCTCAAACTAAGAACTCAAACTCTGGCCTGACTCTCAGTTGTCTCAAGATCCTTTTACAAAGTATTAAATGAACCCACTTCAAGGCCCCTTCGCAAGTTCTTCGTGTAACTGAGAAATAGGCCCCTAAGTGCTCAGTTTTAGTCTGTGGTGCATTTTCAGTACATGGGGCAAGTTCTAGTCAGGCAGCACTCATTCACTGATTCAGTATGAACTAAAGAAATGCACTGAGCTACGTGAATGCCTCTCCCTCCATTGTTCCCCTACAGATCCTTTATGTCCCAGAAGTACACCAACACCTAATGTTCATTCTTTCCAAAGGTTCAGAAGAGATGTGTGCTTTGATGTTCTGCTCAGCTCCAGAACTAAGGGGAGTTACACGTTATAGGTAGCAAAGCAATGAAGTCCTCATGAAGGCATCTATTTTCAGTGGTGTTAAGCATCTCTGAATTACTATTTGTTTTCCTCAAAACTTTCCACTGAGTTTTGCTGGGAGGGTCTGTGCGATTCAGGGTATCCAGCAGAACAAATGAGACAATAATAGATGCTTCGAACTCAGGTGATATGGCTTCTGCTATGAAAAGACTCTTCTCAGAAAAGCATGAACAGCTATTATAGGAACACATCTGCATAATCCTCCCACTTTTTTTCCAAAGTGCCGATTGCCAACATGCATGCAGCAACATCAGATACAAATGTCTACAGAACATCTTTGCCGTTTCACAGGCACTGTGCAGTATGGCAGAACCGGGGATAAGAAAAGAAAAGAACAGGCTCCCATAGCTTATACAGCAAACGCATTAGAAAGTTAGTGGCAGAGTGAACAGCCCTGGTCATTCTATCACTGAAGTCATGCACAGGTGATACGGAGTTTTCGAAGACCTATTCATGCAACAGTGTGAAATCTCCAGTGATGATCCGCACCTCTACAGAGCCTCTACAGAGCCTCCACAGGCAATCAGTGAAAGACGTTAGTATAAGTGGATATTTTTATACCTTTGGGATTTGATTCTTCCCACAGAGGGTTCCTTGGGAGTCAGCAGGATCAGACCTTAAGTACCAGCAAAATTGACTTTTGAAACAGAATTATTGTTTCATCTTAACGAGTCATGTGTTATAAGGGTAAGTGTCTTATGCTGAGTGACACTTAGCATGCCTATTCACAGTCCTCACAGGCTAGTCATTGAGGGTTTTGGCTACAGCACTTGGTTAGTCCAGGCTGGTTTCGGAAATCAGAGACAAGGGTAAAGGGTGATGAAGCACACCTGGGTGGGTCTTGTCTCAACATAAAGTAGGGACAGGCCTGGGGTATGCAGCTGGACACAGGAGCACAGAAGTACTATTGGATCCCACAATTTCAACACTGCCACTGAAATCAATGGGACCTACACATATCCAGCATCTCTTACACCCAATGTTAGATTTCAGTCCTCAATGAAGGCAATGGTAGCTCTTCAACTCACAGTATTGCTACGAGAATGATACCTTACAAGAATCAATGCCTCGGGGATAATAAGTATTTCCATTTTGTCCTTCTATAACATGTAAATACCTAATAAGTATTTTGCAACTGGAATACTTGGAGACACTCAAATACTTACCGTAAGTGCAACTGATCCTAGCAAAAGTGCAACTGAATAGACCAGTCCTTTGCTGTTTATCTTAACCTGTGGGAATTAAACAGAGAAGAGACATTTAAAATGCACAGCATATAATAACTGTGCTTTGGAGATCAGAAATCAATTTACTAATTTATGGTCCACCTTCTGTTCTCAATAGTTACTGACTTACACACTTTAAACTATGCAAATCCGTGACAGATTTATCATAATGAAGAATGGGAAGATTAAGGAATCGAAACAAATGTATAAGTAATCCCACCTCCATTTAAAAAAAAATAAATCAGTATTTTATGTTAAAAGATCCTCAGGAGAGAGAGATATGCTGTTATTCTCATTTTACAGACAAAAAGACTAAGGTACAGGAAGACAAACGGGTGTGCTTGAAGCTGTGTAGCGAGAAAATGACAGAGCCATGAACAGATATCCATGGTGCTATTTTTCTGCTGTACAGTATAATGTACTCTAGTTGACAAACTGGGAATTAATTGCAGCTTGTGGAAGAAGAATTGCTCCCTTAACTCCTGGTTCCTTGGCAAAGAAATGACACCTTCTTTAGCAATCAATAACATGCTCAGCAGGTGGTTGTTTGTTTGTTTGTTTTTTAAATTTTATGTGCATGCTTTCTTTTTAGGATATTTTTTTAAACAGACAAAAAGAACAAACAAAAGATTTGCCAAGTATACATACAGTTGATCCAGAATCAATCGCCATGGTCTGCAAACCCCACGGAACACCAAGGCCCACCAGAATGTCAAAGACATTGCTTCCTATTGTGTTGGATACTGCCATGTCACCGAGGCCTGCAGAGAAAAAAACCAACCTCTTGGGTAAAAACGAAAGTATAGGACCATTACTCTGTGTACTAGAGGAAACTAAAGGGGAACGATCTGCATTGATCCAAGCCCCCTTGGACCCGCCAGAGTATCTGAGGTAGGGAGATAATTTCCATAATCTTTGTGTGCCTTCTGAGAAGTGTGCAAAAATTGCTCACTCCAACTACATCTTCCTTGTGTCTTGCAGAGCCTTTACTGGGTGTGTGGTATCTGTTCAGCATCCGAGTTTAATGCCAATTAAAAAAAAAAATCAAGTCTTGTTCTAGGCAGTCTGCAGCCACAGGGAATCTGGAGATTATGTACTGGGTTTAGTATGTGGACACGTGGCCTTTATCTCGTGTGAGTGATGAAAAGTGATCCTGAAAAGAACCCAACCAGATGGAAGTGAAAGATAATTAAGCAGTTCTGTGCAGCTTAATCAGCAACGATTTCACTTCAGGAACAATAAAATGCTACAGGAAAGGGAAAAAAAGAGTGAACAGTACATCCCTAGGCATTACTCAAAACCTACTTCTAATGCTCATCACTGGTTAGCATCTCATTCTGCACCAGTGTCAATGGAGGTGAGGAAAGCAGAATTCTTCTCTGCCCCTGCTAACTTCCCTTAGGCACTGGCCTAACGATTGCATCACTTCCACAAAGTGAATACTGGAAAGGAAGAGGAACTCTGACTTAAATGGGACATGTCCCACAAACACTTTGAGAGTACACAGAGCGGAGACAGACACTACCACACCATAAGTACAGTATCTTCTTGCAGGAAGCTGCTGAGAGAAAGGTTATACTTTGGGTCCGTATTATGGTAGTGTCCATCTCTACTTTTTAGATATTTGTCTGCAATCTGTCAGTAAACATCTCTCTTGAATCCAAGTAGTGCAACATCCCTGTATTGCCTTTGAGAGGATGGGGCTGCTTTTTGCCAAGCTAGTGCTTACCTTCACTTCCAGAGGAAACAATCCCTACAGTAGTTTTGCCTAATACTAAAGAAGAATTAAACGAAAGCTGCAGTCTGTTAATTTTAAAATATAACGTTTTCCTTCTGTTCTTGCAAAAATCTGTTCACTTTAATACTACGCACAGACAACTAATTTAGTAGGAAGGTGGTTCCATAAGAATCCTGAATACTTTTTTGTACTGCTTGTTGTGAGATTTTCCTGCACACAACAAATAATACAACCTGGAAAATGAAATATTTTAAATATGTAATTCTTTTGAATCAGGCAACATTTAACAGCACTACTCCTATCTCAAACTACAAAGGTGGGGCTTTTGAGTACTTAATTTATCACTCCAGAACTCTTGTTGTTTGCCCAATGATATGTGCTGGAGATCTTGTTATCTGGAAAAAAAAAAAGGCTTTGGGAATTGGAATAATGGAAGAGAATACAATTAGGAGCTTTTCTTATTCTACTGCAGTACAGGAGATCACACTGTCAGGTTTAACGTTTTTCAACAAGAGGAAGGAATGCGGCTACAGGTTATTTCTCAAGTAAAAAATTAAATGTAAAGAACCTTAATCAAAACTTAGACACATGAGAAATTCTTCGACAATTTCAATTGGAAAGCTGATGGGACATAACTGACATTTATATAAAACCCCTTCCAGTGTGGCTATTCATATGTCCAAACTGGAAAGAGGTGTGCATTTAGATGAGAAGTATGCCTGGAACAACATCACTTCTGCCACATCCTCTTAAACTGCTTCACTTCCCTGGGTTTGAGAGGTCTTCCAGAAATCAGTACGAGTTTTACATGGACAAGTGCTGGTCAGCAACTACTCTTTGATGTAGTTTTTAATAGCTGATGTTCCAGTTTTGTCTACTAATTTTATCTTTTCACCCTGACTGATACATACCATGCATGGGATATCTGAGTGTTGAATGACCTTCTAGAATGCTAGGGTGTGCCCAGTCCCAATAAGCAAAAGATAAAAGGACAGGCATTATTTTTTTGGTTCACAATAATTAAGCATAGTGTTTTCACTTTTAACGAGGTGCTGAAACAGTAAGAATAAAAGAAAAAAAGAATAAAATTGCGGTGAGAATTTGTGTGTATGGAGGAAGCAAATCACAGAGCACGTATGTAAGATTGCATTTATGCTTCAGCAGACACAGTACCTTGTCTTGCTACTATTAAACTGGCCATGCAGTCTGGGACGCTTGTTCCTGCAGCTAGGAAAGTAATGCCCATGATCACATCTGGGATCCCAAGGGTGTATCCAATCACAGTCACCTGAACAGTGAGGAAAATAGATTAACTCATCATATTTGGCAAGTCTCCTCATTCCAATACAGTTGTGGCATACTCTTAACTTTGTCTTCTGCTGTGGACCCTGACAGGATTAGACTCAGGATACTTATCCATTTCTGCAAGTTAAATAATTGTGGAATAACCAGCCCCAAACAAACCCTGTGAAAAGTAAAAGATCTTCGGGTCATTTTATTTAACATTTATGAGCAAAGAAAAAGGTCCATTTTCTGTACTTCTAACAGGACATACTGATCTTTTGAGGAGGAGCACGGACTGGCAAGATTCTCACTGGTTCTACCCTCAAAAGAACTGCAACCAATTCATATAGTGATATAGTGGCAGAGATATAGAGAACCTGGTTTTATCCCAACACATGAAGAAGGAATCAGTTTCTTGCATGACTCCCGATATAATCCTGAAGTGAGCAAGTCTGGTTATATTGTCCCCTGAGAGTCCAGATGCAGCTTTAAAAGAGCTTAGGGAACGGCTGAAGCTTGTAGCAGAGCTCTTGGAAAGGACAGGGAACTGTATTTAGCTGGCACGTCCAAAGGCTGAAAAAATGTCAAGAAAAAAGGCTGAACAGGCAGCTGAAAAGGAAATAGCCTTGTGAGAGTGAGAAGACTGAATGAGGGACAGGCCGCTGCTTCCCTGAAGAGACTGCTAAGGGTGGTAGTCTTTAAGGCTCTGTGTTGTTTTCTTGAAATAGTCTGCCAGTCTCTTACGTGAGGAAAACTGGACCAAAGAAAAGGTGTATTTTAGGAACCCGCTCACAAACCTTATTCTCAGGGGCAAGCTGTGACTCAGAAACAGGAGTGGGCTTGATTCTCCTGCTGCAAGTGGTAACGGCCCATTAAGGTCCAGCTGCCTCTTAAATAAGCTGTGTTGCTGCAGCCTTCATTCCTGAACACACTTCTCATTTGTGAAGGGGGTATCTACAAATGGAACGAAGGTACAGAGCATGGCCTTGCAAAGGACATATGGTATGAAATGGATATGTGGCTTTGGCACCATTATGCCAGGCAGAATGAGTGGCTGGCATACGAATTTCTCCAACACAGTCTACGTTAAGAGAAAAGAGGATTACTTTACAATGCAAAACTTATATAGAAAGTTGCAAAAAGCATATAGAAAACACAATCTTCCATGAGAGGTAACATAAATATAAAGCAGTTCGCAAATGCCCAACACAATTGAAGAAGACAGAGATGCTCTCCACCCGAAGAAGATTTTGCAGGTAAGAAGCCCATGAACAAAAATTCTTTCATATGCATGACTAGAAGAGTATATATATATATATATATGACTATGAGTGTATATATTTGAGACTATATATATTCCAGTATGAAATCAGATGAAGGTTTCTTAACTATATTTTCCTTGAAAAGGAAAAATGGGCATATAAATTCTTCAGCAGCACTTCCTACCAATTTTCCAGTTACAGGTATGTACAACTTTTTAGTTTTCCATCTTTAATGTAGAAGAAGTCAAGTTTCTATACTTCAAAAGTATGGCTGATTTTTCTACCACAGAAACGATTTGAGGAGCTTTCCTATTCATGCCTCTTCTCTGACTGAAAACGTAAACTTAAGAAACTGAAAAAGGGTAAGAAAGAAAAAATGGGAACTTATTCAGATCTTCAAGTAAGCGTGCTCCTGAACTGACAACAATTTACAGATCCACACCTGATACACTGCTTCTCACAGATCTAGGGCAAATGGAAACATACCAGCAATCGTAATACTCTTCACTAAGAAGGATTTTCTTGCATTATTCCAGGCTACTCGAGGTGTTTTACATCACTCCTGAGTCTTCAAAATTTGCCATCCATCTGCTTTTTATGCACGTTTCAGTATCAGACGCTGTAGCCAAATTTCTAAAGGTGTCTCAGCTGCTGGAGGGTTCAACATTTTCATTTAAACTCCCTTTTACTATTAAGATGTGGATGTCCACATTCTCTTGAAAATCAAACTGCAACCTTCCTGTACTGTATTGGGCCCTATACACTAAAGGCTCAATTATTTGTGCAGAAAAGAGCAACAGAAAGCTAAAATTATAATAATCAGAGTATGAGCTGACGGGACTGCACTACAATTACACGCCTTTCTTTAACTACACAAAAGATGTATTATGTATTTTGAGATGCCCGTTTCACATAGTATGGGAAGTCCTGCTATATGCACTTACCATCCACACCATGAAGTAGGAGAACAAGGCAATCCAGAGAGTGGATAAGATGAATGTCACCATAAAACACTTCTCCCAGCGAGGTTTGCTGCAGTTTGGAATGGTGCAAAAGAGCAAGAATATCAACGGCCATGTCAAAATCCATTTAATTTTGTTCATTTTTCCATCTGCAGGACAAAAAGGAAAGAACCAGTTTAGCTTTCCCATCACTATTCCAGGTCCAGTTACACCTCTCTGAACACAGCAGATGATCCCAGAAGATCCCAGAAGGATGTTTACAACTGTGCATGCCAGCTTATTTTCCATTGTAGCTTTCATCTATACTTGCTCTTGTCACTTTCAGCCAGGTTCTGCATCCACATCCAGAATCTTATAGTTAAGCCTGCCGAGGTCTATGTAAATGCATGAAAGAATTACAATGATTCAAAAGCATGGCTGCTTTGAAAACCAAAATTAAGAGTCAGGTTTGTTGCTCTTTCAAATACCTGTACTACTATTAATCCAAAATTAAAAAAAAACCCAAACAACAAACAACCAAAAAGCCCTCCCCCCACCTTTTGAAAAGGAAGCTGGAAATCCTTGTAGTGAAAATAACCTGTACCTTCTCTGCAGCAACAGAAAATACTTTCACAGACCCAACCTATGGATGTGACAAACTTGTTTCACATGCCGCACTGTGGTCACTTGGGTAGAACTTTAGACTGGTACTTAGGAGATCCAGACTTGTTAACTCTCTCCAACTGAATATAGCACCACCTTGAGATGGTCTCTCATCCTCTAAAAAAGGAAACTGAAGACACTGACTTCCCCCGTACAGCTCTCCAAAATCAACTGGTGAGAAATACCAGAGAACTGTCATTACTGGAGACAAGTACCCACCTTCTCATTCTTTAAAAATGCAAAGTATTGTAAATGTGCACATAAATCTCAATACACAAAAGAGAATTATTTTATAACTGGGCCATAAATAAATGGGGCACTTACATTTATATGCTTCATGAGGTATCCTGCAAGTAGGATAACAATTTTTTTATCAGGCTAAGCCAGAGTATCACAGCCAACAGCATGGTGGGTTTTGTTTGGGTTTTCTTTACATTATTTTAGAATTATGCAAGTAAGGATTTCCATCACTAACTGATACTGATATGCACGAGATCTAATAATATATGCCACGTTAAATAAAATGGTTGGTTGCATTGAAAAAAATGATCAGATACATCTTGCAGTGAAGTTATATAGCTAAATTATCAGGGGCAGGTAATAATCAGCGGAAGCTCCTATCAATTTCACCAGGAATTTTCTTTCAGCAAAGACATTGGGATTCAGGATTTGTTTAATGGAAGTTTTTGTCAGTGAATTTAATTAGGTTGAAATCCGTCCTCTGGACCAATGTGCACCAGAAACAATGAAATTAAATATTAAACATTTAACAATGAAGAATACTTTTGTAATTTATGAGGCTACTTACTAGTCTAATTTAACTCGGTGAGTCCAAATGCAAGTCTTTATTCATTTACTTCGCTATGTATCCTAGTACTTAATTGTCTCGCGTAAGTTCTGAATCAGCTCCTTAACTTGAGATTTCCTCGCCATCAACCCACCAGGAAATCTTAGACTAAGCTTGGCTCTTTATTCCCACTTAGCTTCTGTCTGTGGAACTTCTGAAGTCTCCTACAGTCAATTCTAATTCTAGAATTTTATGCATCACTGGGGATCTACTACAGATTTTACAGGAAAGTCCTTTTTCCCTCTGGTTACATGTACTGCTATACAGATTTTTAAAGCAGTTATCTTGTATCTGTCCTGTCCAGAAAATGACACTTCTTAGCTCACATCTCACTTTAATTCTGTAATTTAAGGCTGTAAATATCCCATGCTAATTTGTACCTCCTCCAGTTTAATTTGTTAGAGTTTGGATCATTAAAAGACTCCCGCTAATTAATCTATACTCTTTGTCCACCCGAGTTGCCAAGCTTGGTTCATAGGCAAAGCAGTCAGCATGGCCTAGGCCGGTGATTTCCTCAGTGCATAATTCCAAGCGCGGGGTGAGTGGGCGACCGACAGTAAAAAATTATGGATCCTATTCTGATCTGATGTGGGTGTAATCTGACAGACTTCAGTGCTGCTACACACAGGAGATTCAGTCCCATTTCTTTTCTCAATAACAAGAATAAAAGAAACAATAATGACTGGAGAACACCTAGAGAATAGAGATGCAGCCAGCCTCTGCTGGGGCATATGTATCTCGTCAGGGATCCCATCTCATGCCCCGAATTACTTAACCAAATGCATAACTGTTAGAATTCACAGTGCCTGACCACTGGCACTGCTATGCTTGCTCAGGTCCAGGAAAACCAAAATATTAGTGGAGGAGGACTTGCCTTTCCCTTATCTTCGCTCTGTTTGAATGGATGTGTGTCAGATGAAAATTCCCGGCTCTATTAGCGGTGCTGCTTTATCCACACCATGTCATGAGTCAGAACTGGTTTTTTACAGCTAGATGGTTTGTGGAAGTGACATTTACAGTGACTACACGGCAACCAGGCTTCAGACTTTGGGGAACAAAGTCTGGGTTGTGCTGGCTTAACGGAGAAGCTGACTGGACATTTGCAGTCAGCCTGGAATAGTTCTGAACCGCCATGGCCAAAGCAGCCTGCTCGACACACTTTACATCGGTTTCTCTTTCGTGTCAGGGTTTCCCAACTTTTGTAAACTTCTATATAAAGCTTTAAGTATATCTTTGGAGCACCTCTCCTATGAGGACAGGCTGAGAGAGCTGGCGTTGTTCAGCCTGGAGAAGAGAAGGCTCCGGGAAGACCTTATTGCAGCCTTCCAGTCCCTAAAGGGGGCTACAGGAGAGCTGGGGAAGGACTTTCTACCAGGGCTTGTACTGATAGGACAAGGGGGAATGGCTGTACACTGGAAGAAGATAGATTTAGATTATGAAGAAATTTTTCACTTTGAGGGTGGTGAGGCACTGGAACAAGTTGCCCAGAGAAGCTGTGGAGGCCCCATCCCTGGAGGTGTTCAAGGCCAGGCTGGATGGGGCTTTGGGCAAGCTGGTGTAGTGGGAGGTGTCCCTGCCCATGGCAGGGGGGTTGGAACTGGATGATCTTTAAGGTCCCTTCCAACCTAAACCATTTTACAATTCTATGATCTGGCCTTGGTTCTGCCTCCGGTCATTTTCTTCAGCTCCAACTATGCTGGGTCATAGAACTTGTGTGGCACCCAATGCTAAAGCGGTCTATTCTTAACGCTGTAACTCGGTAGTTAAGTAAGAACTTAGTAAGTTTAGCAGCAACCTCAATAAAGTGAGACTTAATTTCCTCAGGCAACAGAAGACTTCATTCGTTTCACTTGGGTTAGATGAATGCAGAAACAATACACAGCTTGAGATTTTAATTTTTTTAAAATTCATTTATTTTGAAATTACTTCTTGTCCTGCTCTGTTGTTTTGGTTTTGACCACCCACTCTAAAATAATCATTAAAATGATTTAGTGATAAATTCGTTAAATTGGGGTATGCTTTTAGCTCATGACAAATTGTTTTATGATTGTTGCATAGCTCACTAGTACATATGCAAGGAAGAAAATCATCCTCCTCATTAAGGCTCTTATTCAATACATAGCTGTTCTGCAAAACCCGGCAAACAGTCCCATTACAAGGCCTTAGCTCTGTTGTTTTAATACCAGTAGTGGTCTCTCCTGCGAGCCCTGCATGTGGAGGCTCCTGCGGCAACCCACGTAGCTGAGGAAAGGTGTATTTTGTTTGTTGCAGCTCCCACGACAATAATGAAAGAATATTGCCTTATCACAGAAAGTAACACTGGTCTATATTCTGTTCACTTCACCCTGCTGTAAAAGATGAGGTTTTTTGCATGAAGTTGTTTTCCTCCTTTATACATCCATTTTTCTGTGTCTCCAGATATCTGGAAGCCAAGCACGCCAAGTATTTCAGAGAGATATCATTACTGAAAGGCCTGATTACAGTGTTTCTGAAAACGAAGCAGCAGCCCTACAACAAAAAACCCTTTGCTAATTTTCAGTACATTTTTTGGCTTGTCATCTTTCCAGATGTTATGCTTACAATAATTACTTCCCCATACAGATAATCTCCTGGTGAACGAACTCAACAACACACATCACAGCACTGAGAGGAAAGGAGTATTTCCTTAAGGCACAAAATGAAGAGCTTTTTTACCAGAAATACACTGTCCTGTTCACAACATTCACACAGAGTTGAGAGGAGCTCAGTACAAAAGTGTGAAACTACATTTCTATTTTCACTCACATCAGGAGTGTAGCCTTGAAGTAAATCTCCCGATTGTCCGCATTTACTGTATTTTAGTTTGCAACACAAAGCAGCCTTGAATCACACCAACAAGATCACAGAACCATAGAATGGTTTAGGTTGAAAGGGACCTTAAAGATCATCTTGTCCCAACCCCCCCTGTCATGGGCAGGGACACCTCCCACCAGACCAGGTTGCTCAAAGCCCCATCCAGCCTGGCCTTGGACACCTCCAGGGATGGAGCTTCCACAGCTTCTCTGGGCAACGTGTGCCAGTGCCTCACCATCCTCAGAGTAAAGAATTTCTTCCTAACATCTAATCTAAATCTCCCCTCTTTCAGTTTAAAACCATTCCCCCTCATTCTATCACTACAGTCCCTGATACAGAGTCCCTCCCCGTTCTTACTGTAGGCTCCCTTTAAGTACTGGGATCCCTTGGTATAAAGCTGAACCAGAGGCACAAACTGAGAAGTGCTCCAAATAATAATGGGCATTTAGTCCATGGGACCAAGGTAGAGCTAATCTGAAACAGAACTTTCAAACACATATAGTGCAGACAGCCTACATGTCCTAGTCAATAAGCTGCATAGGAAACACTTTCGCTGAGTTTAGACAGACTGAGGTCTGCAGCTAAACCGTCAGGAGTCAGATCTAAGTTGCTGCAGGTCGTTAGATTTGATAGCTTTTCCGCTTCGTCTCCCCTTTAAATGTGTGGCAGTCAAGCATAGACCACTGCTCCACACATTCACTACTTCAGAACATGCCTAAACCTTCACATGTGAAAAAAGCATCTGCTTACATAAGGCAACTAGTAACTGAGCTAAAAAATTATAACATCACGGAAAAGCACAAATCTAATTGACACACAGGATTTTCA